TCTTTTAAAATGGATCCCTCAGTTGATTTGAAAGATAACTTGAATAGATTTACAAAGTTAACCTAAGACTTACTCAATTGTGATGAAAAACTTTCAAAAAATCAGCTGGCTTTAATCCCGTTAAACTCCATTAGTGGTAGGAATAGAGACCTAATGAACGCTCTAGAATATGGTAGGGATGAAATCACTACTCATATAATCATTAATGTCTTAAGAAATAAAGTTCATGAAATGAAATTTAAGTCTAAATGAAGTCACAATGGAGATAGCAAAATTTAAGAAATGCTATATAAGTCTATAACTATGAAAAATTGAGACATTTCATTAAAGACCCCTATAAAAAGGCACAATGAAATAAAAGATAAGAAACCTGATGAAGGCAATGTAGTCTTAGCTTACAATAAAGAATATCATAGAGATGGGTTAGTCCTTGTCAATATGGACAAGAAATTAAATCATGAATAGATACTTGATTCAACCCCTTTTTTCCATATGTTCCCAAATAAAACTGTCTTTAGAGTTGGAAAAAATATAAAATTATTACTTGAAAATGGTAATATTCTACTTTTAACAGGAACTAGATATGTACCTGAACTAGAGATGAATCTAGTGTTTTTAGGCATGTTAGATGACATGGGTTTTGACATCAAATTGGATCAAGGACATGATAAAATCTTTTGGGGCTGCAATTTGATTATTAGTACCCCCAAAGAGACATTATCTTTATCTTCTTGAAGCAAAACCTTTGCTTGGTTTGACTGCAATTGCTTCAGATGAAAAATTTACGCTTGAAAATTATGGCATCAAAGAATTGGCCCATATTGATAAGAAAAGTCTAAAATCTCTTTAAAATAAAGGAGTTTTTGGAATTCTAAAACTTGATGAAATTTGCTCTTGTGAACAACGTATTATTAAAAAAAAAAAAAGTTAAGTTGAATTTTTTACTTGAGATTCATAAATCTAAACATATACTTGAATACCTGCACGCTAATTTGTGGATTATTGCTTCTGTAAATATTCAATCTGGTTTTAGATATT